ACCCACCCACCATGCTACCATCCATGCACATCTGCACTCTCCCTTCCCCTCATTATTATGGTTGGAATCAAAGGTCCCCAGGATGACAGACCTACACTCGTTGAAGAGGGGATGCCAAGGAGAGCCGCTGACCCACATTGGACTATGGTGTGTTGTGAATGAAAAGTAAACATACATTGTACTAAGCCACTAAGAATTTGGGGATTGTTTTTTTAAAGTAGCTCAGAAGCATTACTCTGACTACACAGAACTCGCCACTCTAAGTTCAGAAGGCTGAAAACTACCCAGCTTGGGAGGGCCCAGATGTTAGGGTCCATGTCTTCACTGTAATTTCTGGAAACAGTTCACTCAAACCTCCCTGAATTGAGAGGTCTAAATTTGGAGGGAAATTTGACAAAGCCTTCATTCGAGGGAATGGATGAGAGTGTGTCCATTTCACTGATGGTACCAAGAAACTGATTTCCTTGTGGTAAGTGCACTTCATCTATGTCTAATAAGGGAACTTTCAAGAAAGTGAAATTTTTTATGTTCTGGCTTTTAAGTGGTGAAATAGAAATAAATTTCATAATTTATCTGAAAAAAATTATGTTTTATCTCCAAAGCAATCTTCCACGATTTTTAAATCATGGAGAACGGGAGAATGCCCATGGCTATGATAATCCACACTTTGAGCCAATTGCCTAGACCTTGGTGGAGTGAATACCATGGTGCTGTGGTGGCACTGGAGAAAATGGAGGCTCAAAAGATTCTTAATTACTTAGCAAGCCAGGAAATGGATGAACCAGGACAAGGGCTGATTTATCTTTGGTTTCTGCAGACTATTTCTTCCCATAGTGTCCTTAGAATCCATCTTCTACTTTCAGGGTTGAAATCAGCAGGCAGGCTCAAGTTCCATGATTTCCTACTATGTGAGCAGCGCTGAATCCTCCTTCACACAACTAAGAATCAATCATACAACACTGTCGCCAAATACACTTGGCACATCAGAGGAGGACATTGAGGCTCAAAGTGTGTGGGTTTTTTTTTCCACTATTTTTTAATGATACAAAATTAATAGTTCTCACAAAAACAGTTTGCTATCAATATCTCCTTTAGTCCTCTTTGACAATTCTAAAGCTTATTTTTGGATGCAATTCTGAAATAAATGCCGATCTTGAAGATTGCACTGCCCTGTGTAGTAGGATTGGTTGGCTCTGCAGCTACATGTGGTGTTTCCGACATATTCTATCAGCATTGTTGGAAGCAGTGTGATGACGCTTGTCAGCAGGTGTCCTCCAGGCTGCTAAACTCCAAGCCTTATAATTCATCCTCTCCCCGCCACCAACCGCAGCCCTAGGCTGACTTGCTAAGCATGGTGCCTTAAGTTTGTTGTCTATGCTTAAAAGTCTTACAGTTTGCCTCCCTCTCTGCTTTTATCTTTCTATTCCATTTCCATTATTTTATTGTTCTTTCCATTCCCCTATGTTCATCTGCTTTGTTTCTTAAATTCCACCTATGAGTGAAATCATCATCTGGCATTTGTCTTTCTTTGATTTATTTCACTTATTTCACTTTCACTTATTTCACTGACTCTAGCTCTATCCATATTGTTGCAAATGGCAAGAATTCATTCTTTTTGAAGACTGAGTAATAGTCCATTATATACATACACACACACACACATATATATACAAACATATATATACATACAAGTGTGTGTGTGTGTATATATATTCCATTCCATAATATTCCATTCTTATACACATATTTATGTACACAGCACATCACATTTCTTAATCCATTCATCAGTCAATGAACATTTGGGCTGTTTCCATAGTTTGTCTATTGTTGTTAATGCTGCTATAAACATTGGGGTGCAGATGTTCCTTTAAATCAGTATTTCTGTATCTTTTGGGTAAATGCCTAGTAGTACAGTTGCTGGATCATAGGGTGGTTCTATTTTTTAACTTTTTGAGGAACCTCCACACTGTTTCCAGAGTGGTTGCACCAGTTTGCATTCTCATCAACAAGAAAACAATTATTTTAATCTAAGTGACCTTAATTTTAAGACAAATCATTACTTAAGACAAAAGTATTACCACCAAAGTTTAAACATTAACACGCTCTTGGCTCAGCGGTTGAGCATTTGCCTTCAGCTCAGGGCGTGATCCTGGAGTCCTGGGATCGAGTCCCACATCGGGCGGGCTTCCTGCATGGAGCCTGCTTCTCCTTCTGCCTGTGTCTCTGCCTCTCTCTCTCTGTGTGTCTCTCATGAATAAATAAATAAAACCTTAAAAAATAAATAAACATTAACACTACTTGTAAAAAAAACTTATGCTTATTCAATTGGTTTTAAAATTATAACATTCTGAAAACATTAATAGCCAAATAACATTTAATGAATAATTATAAAAATAAAACCACAAGGCCAAGGATCTGTGACTTTTCAATAACTTCTGCCTATTACTTTTCTTCATGTTTATAGTAGACTGTACATTTTGCATTTAACTGTTGCTCCCTCACTGAATGTTTCTTTGGAAATAACAGGTTTGGAAAAGATAAAAAACTAAACCAAATAGTGCAGTGTGAAGTTGTTTACATTAAGCTTTAAAAAGGAAGTATTACTCAGCGTTTCATTCAAATTAAATTCCTATCACGCCAATTTTTTTCTGACCACTTTTGTCATGAAAATGAATTGCTGAACTCAGTATAAGAATTAAACAGTAAATGCATTTAATTTTAAGATTCTTGAAACACTGCTTTTTCTCTTAGGGATAAAAAAAGTGTATGCACTGAGAAAGATACAGGATTAATTAAGGAACATTTTTGGGAGAGATGGAGGGATTGTTTTTAAGACACAAGTCATAAACATCACACAGCTAAAATACGTGACGAGTTATTCTTATTTCAATGACTTTTATTCCACAGTCTGGCCAAAGAATACACTTTGTGCCTGGGGGAGAATCACAACTGCTGGCTGTCGTTCATTTTGAGAACTTGCTTGCTGAGTGTGTTTTTTTGTTTTTGCTTTTGTTTTTTTTTTTGTTTTGTTTTTTTTTTTTTTTTTTTTTTTTTTTTTTTTTTTTTTTTGCAATTAGCAAGAGGGTTTATTGAACGTTTGCGCAAACGGGCTCTCCGCCTCCGAGGAGGAAAAGAGCCCCGATTAGCAATTACAGGTGTCTTTTAAAGGGCAAAAGGAAAGAAACTTTCTAAAGACAAAAGAACCGCGGGAGTCGCATGGCATCCAGGTTGATTTTGGGGAGGGTCAACATGAACCTATTCAGGGACATTCCAATCAGGGTGTGGGGGGGGAAATGGTTTTCTTATTGTAAACAGAATGCTTTTAGTTGCTAAAATTTCAGGAAGAAGACTGGATGGGCTGCCTCTGGGTTAGGGCTGGCCCTACTTACAAGGGGGGGAGGTTTCTTCATTCCCTCCTCTTGTTTGGGCTGATTTTAACCTTAAAATCTTAGGGAACATTTATTTCTTCAGTTTGGAGGGCCCGACATTGCTGAGTTAATACCAGAGCTTGGGTAACAGACAATCTTTCTCGGATGAACTGGGGCAGCCGGTTGAGGACGCAGGGGCCGAAAGTTAGCAGCAGGAGCAGGATAACTAGAGGGCCCAGAATGGTAGAGATTAGGGTGGTCAACCAGGGAGACTGATTAAACCAGCTTTCAAACCAGCCCTGCTGGGCCTCCCGGTCCCTTTGTCTTTTATTTAACCTTTCCCTGAGTTTGGCCATGGAGTCTCTGATGACTCCAGAATGGTCTGCATAGAAACCGCATTCCTCTCCCAGGGCCGCACACAGTCCTCCCTCTTTCCGGAATAGTCAATCCAAGCCTCTCCTGTTGTGAAGTGCTACTTCTGAAAGTGAGGGGAGGGACTGCTCTAGCTTAGAAACGGACTGCGCTAGTGTCCGTAGATCCTCATCTACAGCTGTTTGGAGTTCTATATAACGTCGTGAGCCCCGGATCAGAGCAGCTGCGCCAGGACCCACCCCAGCAGCGACCCCTAGTCCCAACATAACGGCTAAGGTTAGGGAGACAGGTTCGCACCGAAAACGGGTGGGATGTTTATCATACTGATTTTCTAGAGTTTCAGCAGGGTGATAGAACACCCTGGGTATGATCTGCACCATGACACAGAAGTCGTTTGAGCTATTTAGAACCTTAGCCGACACACAGGGGGTGAGGCCTTTGTTGCATGCCCACCAAGTTCCCGGCTGGGGCTCCAGGTAAGAATCAGTCCCCAAAATCGGGGTGGTAGTGTTAGAGAGTCTCTGGTAGCCCCGGGGGGGGGGGTGTTCCTATGCAGGTTCCCTGTCCTGTAACTTCTGTAAGGCTGAGTTGTGGTTGGGAGTCGGGTGTGCATCCCTGAGTGCTAGTGATGTTATTATAGGTCCCTGAAGTAGCAATCCCCTCATAATAAGGGGGGGTGGTGCAAGGCAGAGCCAGCAGGATTTAGTTACATCGGGGCTGGTTCGATTAAGGGCCAGGAATGCCCCTATGATAAGATTAAACAGTCGTTGTCCCGGCTCGGGTGACGACCGAGGGGTTGGAGTGACCGCGAAGTTAGTGGGTGCGGCTCTCCCTGCGGCTAGGGCCGGGGCAGCTCTTTGTTCCCCGAGGACCGCGTTAGGCCCGATCGCCACGGGGTCTGGGGATTCTATTTTTAGTTTAATTCTGAATATAAAACCATCATCTGTTCTTTCTTTGTATAACCTGAGTCCCCACGTATATCCATTGGCCCAGTAAGTAGCCCTTTTTCCGGGCTCCGTGAAGGATATCCGTAGGGGATGACACCACCCTTGGCAGGGCCCATAATTAAGGGTTTTCCATTTGCTAAATGTCGGGTGAGTATAGTTAGCCTTGACAGTGATACAATCCCAGGAGGAGGAGGGCCTCCATCCTGTATCCCCAGTAGTTTCACACCCCCAATTTTTATAATAGAAGTATTCCCCTCCTCCACAGGTGGGATTTAGCCTGCGATCTCTGTGGTACCCGGGACAGACATAAAAGGGAAGAGTGCTTAGCATGGCCCTTCTGTCAGGCGTGCCACATCCTCCCCATGGGTCTAATCCCAGTCGCCCTGGAGGGCTTTCTTGGTTAGGGGCTCTAGAGGTATCGAAGTATCCCTCTAGGTCCCATGGGCTAGGGGCCCCTATGGTTAGCTTGCATAGGTCAGGATATAGGTCAGGCCACCAGGTTCCCACGGGGGCGGTCTTAGTTATAGACCAGACCTCGTCACCCCCAGACGTTAGTACCTGCCAGGTTAACCTTTTGAGGGCATGAGGGTCACCTTTGGCGGAGGTGAAGAGCGCTAGGAGAGGTAGGAATATAACAACTGTCATTGAACAATTTTTGAAAGTCTTATCTTGAGCGGGTTTTGGGTGCGGTGGAGCTTCCATTGGAGTGGCTCGTCCGGTCCGTCCTGGCTGGCGTCAGCGGTGCTCGTTGATGGGGTGCGCTGGACGTGTGAGGCGTGGACCCAAGCAGCAATGCCGTCTACCTTTAAGGCGGTTGGGGTGGTCAGTAGTACAGTATATGGGCCCTTCCAGCGGGGCTCAAGCGTCCTGGACTGATGTCTCCTGACGTAGACAGAGTCCCCGATCTGGAACGGGTGTGGGCCGGTTGTGTCTCCGGGGCGGTAGACAGCCGCAAGGGGTTTCCAGATCTGGTGCTGGATAATCTGGAGCGCCTTTAGCCTGTCCTGTAAACCGGGAGTGTTAGCAAGAGGGTCAAGAGCAGAATCTAGTAAGTCCGTTACTGGTGGGGGACCTCCATAGAGAATCTCGTAAGGAGTTAGCCCATGGCGCGCGGGAGTGTTCCGGACTCGGAACAGAACCATAGGGAGGAGTTGGACCCAGTCTCTAGTGCCAGTCTCCAATGTCAATTTAGTTAGGGTCTCTTTAATTGTTCTATTCATTCTTTCTACCTGACCTGAGCTCTGGGGTCTGTATGCACAATGTAATTTCCAATTTATCCCCAGTAATCTGGCCACCAACTGACTTACCTGGGAGACGAAGGCGGGGCCGTTGTCCGACCCTATTACCTTGGGCAGTCCAAACCGGGGGAAAATTTCTTCCAGGATTTTCTTGACAACCACCTGGGCGGTTTCTCGCTTGGTGGGGAAAGCTTCTGTCCAGCCATTTCGTAGAAAGCTACTCCCATCGGTGTACCAGGTTGCTTCAGCATCTGGCAAAGGCTGGTCCGTCAAGTCCCCTCTGGTGCCATGGACTTCAGCTAGGATCTGGTGGCAATCATGCATTACTAGGGAGGGGGACTCGGTTTCTGGAAGCAAGGTGGCCGGGTTTAGAGATGTAGCCGTTCCAAACTGTATCCGCTCAGAATTCAGTAACATGGCCTGATAATGGGTGACCCGGGCATTTGAGAGCCATCGATCAGGGGGCTGGCGGATGACTGTCTCTAGGGCATGGGGGGCCACCACAGTGAGGGGTTGGCCAAAAGTCAACTTGTCTGAGTCTTTTACCAGGACTGCCATAGCCACTATTATCCGGAGACATGGGGCCATCCTGCAGCCACGCTGTCTAATTTTTTTGAAAAGTATGCCACGGGCCTTTTCCAGGGTCCCAGTTTTTGAGTTAGGACCCCTTTGGCTATTCCATTATGTTCATCAACATATAGCGTAAAAGGCTTGGTTACATCTGGGAGGCTCAGGGCAGGGGCGGTCAATAAGGCCCTTTTTATTTTGTCAAAAGCCAATTGCTGCTCCTTTCCCCAGTGGTAGGGGGTGTTGGATTTCCTGAGAGGATATAGGGGAGCCGCCATCTCCGCAAACCCGGGTATCCAGAGGCGGCAGAACCCAGCACTGCCGAGGAACTCTCGTAGTCCTTTGGCATTAGTGGGTGCTGGGATCAGGGCTACAGCCTTTTTGCGGCTCTCCGTCAGCCACCTCTGGCCTCCTTCCAGGAGATATCCCAGATAGGTCACTTGTCTCTGGCCTACTTGGGCCTTTTTGGCGGAGGCTCTATACCCCAGTTCTCCCAGTCTCTCAAGCAGGGCCCCCGTACCTTTTATACAATCCTGTTCTGTCCTAGCCGCCAGGAGCAAATCATCCACGTACTGCAGAAGGACGAGGTCCGGATGGCCAACTCGGAAATCTGCCAAATCCCGATGCAAGGCCTCATCGAACAAAGTAGGGGAGTTTTTGAATCCCTGTGGCAGCCTTGTCCAAGTGAGTTGTCCTGAGAATCCCGTCTCAGGATCTTTCCATTCAAAAGCAAAAATAGGCTGGCTTTGAGAGCTTAACCTCAGGCAGAAGAATGCATCTTTTAGATCTAACACCGTATACCAGACATGGCTTGGGGGTAAGGTGCTGAGCAAGTTGTAGGGATTCGGCACCGTGGGATGTATGTCCTCTGTCCTCCAGTTAACCTCTCGTAAATCTTGTACCGGCCGGTAATCTCCTGTGCCGGGTTTTTTTACGGGTAATAGAGGAGTATTCCAGGGCGACTGGCAAGGTATTAAAATGCCCAATTGTAATAGTCTCTGTATATGTGGCCGAATGCCTTCTTTGGCCTCTTTGCTCATTGAATATTGCCGGATCGGTATGGGGGTGGCCGAGGGTTTTAAGTTTATAATTATGGGCGGCTGGTTTACAGCTAGTCCCATTCCGGCCGTTTCCACCGAGGCCTGAGGGTAGTTGGTGAGCCATTCAGAATCTAGGGGCTGCACGGACGGTGGGGAGTCCTCGTGCAGCCGGTGTTCATCCTCTAGGCGCAAGGTCAGTACCTGGAGGGGCTGCCCTCCCGCGCCAGTAATAGTGGCCCCTTTTTGCTGAAAAGGTATCTGGGCCCCTACTTTTGAAAGAAGGTCTCTGCCTAGGAGAGGGTAAGGGCAGTCTGGGACCAGTAAGAAGGAATGCGTTACTTGCCCAGTGCTCAGGTGGACCTTCTGTTCGGTTGTCCATCGATATAACTTGCCTCCAGTTGCCCCCTGAACCCAAGACGTTTTAGAGCTCAAGGGTCCTTTTGCCTCAGTTAAAACTGAATGTTGAGCTCCCGTATCGACCAGGAAGGTCACCGGCTGTCCCCCCACTTTAAGGGTTATCCGAGGCTCGGGGGGGGGGGGTTCCTGGCCCTGACACCCCTAATCTTCATCTTCTAGGGACAAAACAGGAATGGGCTTCTTTTTAGGTCCCTGCGTTTGGCCCTTCCTTGGGCAATCTTTAACCCAATGTCCTTTTTCCTTGCAGTAGGCACACTGGTCTCGTTCAACCCGTGGTCCTCTTTTGTCTCCCAGGTCCCTACTCTGTCCTGACTTACTCTGCCCTGAGCCCTGTACTACGGTGGCCAGTATAGCCTTCTATTAACCTCTGCAGAAAACCTGCCGGCGTCTCATCTTTTCCCTGCACTATAGCACGTACCTTTGCCAAATTGGTGGGGCAACGCCCTGCCCCTTTGAGACCCGCTAGGAGTACCTGGCGATAGAGACGGAGCCGCTCCCTACCAGCAACAGTGTCGTAGTCCCAGGTCGGGCGAACCAAGGGGAAAACATCCTCAATCTCATTAGGCAGCCGGGTCGGCCTCCCATCCGCCCCCGGGACGCGCTGTCTCTCCTCCGTGGTGAGGAAAGTCTGCAGGAGCTGTTGGTGGTCATCCTAGGTCGGCTGGTGGAGGTGTCCATTGGGTCCTGGCTGGAAGACTAGGGCCTTCACCTGCAAGATAATGTCAGTATTATCCTGGGCCACCCGACGTTGAAAGCCGGCCACTCTGAGGAGCAGAAGGTGACCCATCTTCGTCTTCTGACTTTGACCGAGAGATTGTGTGCCCGGCCGGCGACTTCTTTCTAGTGATCTAGAGTGAGGCTTAAAGGGGTGGTTACAGTCTGCCCCATGGGTGTAGAGAAGGGGTGAGCGGTGAGGAGGAGGACAGGAAAGGAAGAAAAACACGGAACGAACAGACGCACACGAACGACAGGACTGGCGCGGCAGATTCAGACGGGAGCGGTCGCGAACCACGACCTTCCCCGAAGAGGAGGGAGTGCCGGGGCTCCGTTCCTCTTCCAGACCACTCCGGAGTCCGACTCCGGAGGGGGACCAGGGGTCTCGGGCACGTCTGCCTCCCCCGCTGGTCCAAATACAGAATACAGAGTACAGCGTCCTGCAGGCACAATACAGACCCGGCACAAAACAGACCCGGCCAGTCAGACAAACGGACGAGACAGATAGGACATTTAGCGAGCTCGGTCTTACCTCCTACCGGTCTTAGGATTGAGTCTGGGGCGTCTCAGATCCCGGACGAGCCCCCAAATGTTGGACCCTGGCTCACGGGTGCCAACGTGGCCCGGTGGACGCCCCAGAGACTCAGACCCCAGACAGGCAGATGCAATTAGCAAGAGGGTTTATTGAACGTTTGCGCAAACGGGCTCTCCGCCTCCGAGGAGGAAAAGAGCCGCTTTTGTTTTTTTTAATCCTTACTATTTCACAGTCTTGAACTTCATTGCTTTCATCTGCCCTTTGAAAAAAGTTACCTTTAGGTCCTTAACATCTTTTTTCATTTCTGTTTTTTTTTTTCTCGCAGTCTGTTGTTTCTAGTTTATTGGATTAATATTTTAATGTCAACTGCACTTTCATCTGCTGAGATATCACCCTTGTAGAAATCCTATTAGCTTTCTAACTATGAAAATTGAAATGAAAGAGAATGTAACTACCATAAACTAAAAGAAACATCCTAGCCCTTCCTGGGCTTAGGCTGCTCATCTCCTTGTATTAAACCACAGTTCTCCTGCCTACTAATACATCGTTTTCCTTTGTAAATTAGAAAACCTTTCACAGAAACAACATTATGTCGATAGCGGTGACCTCCTCAGTCCTAAATTCTTGTGTCAGCTTCTAACAGAACATGAAAGACTCCTAACTCTGGGAAACGAACTAGGGGTGGTGGAAGGGGAGGAGGGCGGGGGGTGGGGGTGACTGGGTGACGGGCACTGAGGTGGGCACTTGATGGGATGAGCACTGGGTGTTATTCTATATATTGGAAAATTGAACACCAATAAAAAATAAATTTATTTAAAAAAACCATCTTAAGAAAAATAAATTTAAAAAACGATAGAAACCAGTCTTCGTTGTTTTCTCCCCCATCTGTGCACACCAGCTATTGCATTTCATTTAAGAACCTTTCTGTTCATTCTGTCTGCGGGCATCATTCTTTCATATCCTTCACTATTCATATTCAATCTCTTCAAAATCTTTGCAATTTTTCCCTCCTATTCAACCTCCAGGAGGCTGCCTTTGCTTAGCTTCTTATCATTTGTCACTTGAACTATAAATCTCTGTACCTCATGTCTCAGGCCTGCCACACTCCTAATCTATTTTTCACAGCGCCACAAGAGTGGGATTTATTACACATCAAAATGTTATCATATTGTTTCACTAGCTAAAATCCTTTAGAGTTCTTCCAGCTTCACTCCCCAAAACATACCTTCTTCCGACATACCAAATCTATAGTTGCAGGACCAGTATCTTCCTTCTCTTACACCTTCTTTCATTTCCTTACATTTCATTCCCAGTTTTTTCCACTACTGGGAATGGTTTTCCAACTGGCAGTGGGTATCACTTCTTCAATGCCTAGCTCAAGTTCCCTCCCTGGTAGTTCACCTCCCTTTCCTCTGCATTCTGGGAATATATATACAAAACAGATCATAGTAAGGGTCACAAAGAGCAAAGGTAATACCCCCAACAGTCCTTTTCAATCTTAACCATTTCTTTTGTCTTTGTGCCTACATAGGAATAGTAGTAAAATTTGAGTAAGTAACATCAAATAATAATACACAGCTTGACAGATATTAAAATGGATATGCGTGGTGGTACCTGGGTGGCTCTGTCAGTTAAGCTTCCAACTCTTGCTTTTGGCTCAAGTCATGATCTTAAAGTCCTAGAATGGAGCCCAGCATCCAGCCCCATGCTCAGTGTGGAGTCAGCTTGATATTCTATCCCCTTTGATCCCTCTCTGCTCCTCCCGCTGTGTTCCTCCCCTGTGCCAGGGAGTGTGCACGCTATCATAGGTAGGTAGGTAGATGGATAGATAGATAGATAGATAGATAGATAGATAGATAGATAGATAGATATGTAGTAGAAGCCACTCATTTGTAAATGAACTAAGAATTGTAGCTTCAGGGAGTCTACAGATTCCTCTTTGATCTGAAAGTTGGTAGTAGTATTTTGCTGCTTGAAAGAAACAACTTCTAGTATGAACACCCGATTGGCTAATTTGGAGCATTAGTTCTAGATCATCATTTTCTTCACCTTTTCTTTTTTTTTTTTTTTTAATTTTTTTTTCTTCTTTTTTTTTTCTTCACCTTTTCAATGTGTAACTCCCAGGGTGTATCTTCCTGGTATATATTCACTTAATATCTTGAACTTGCCAAATTGCACTGAAGTGTACTTTACCTTGGCCTCTAAAGGTGAATTTACTGCTCTTAATGATCTTCAGCAAACATTATTCAGTACACATTCATTGAAGATCTGTTTTGTACACAGTACTCCGGGAACCATTAACTTACCAGATGCCATTCTGGTGCAGCATCTAGCA